CCCGGACTCCAGACACCCTCTGAGAAGGTATCCGGGAGCCCTTGGGACAAGGTCTCATTGAGCAAAGACCATAGCCAAAACAGATCAAAACAGCAGTGGTCAGGGTGCCGCATTCGGAATTCAAAGACAACTCCAATTATTGGTCTTGTCCGGTGTTCTAATTCACTTCTGCCGCGAAACCCCAAGAACACACATACAACTCATACCGAATGATGCTGTCTAGACCTGTGCGTTTATTGCCTTATGGTCTGTGGCGTTGCCGGCCAAGGAGAACTCAAAGTGCAACACTGGGCGCCCGTCCTGGAGCGGTAATGTGGAGCGGTCCGTGTTTTGAGCGATGCCTGAGAAAAACACCAACCCCATGAGGTAGTGCTAATGTCTGTTTGAATAAGTGCATGATGCAAACATGTGCTTGTCTGTTGTGGTTCATAAATCTATAACAAGACTGTAATCCAGGAAATCCATGTGAGTGGCTTATTGCGGCTTCGGATTCATTTTTCAGGACAAGTGCGTGAACTTGTTTGACCCTGGCTCAAACACCAAGAGCTGGTCGGCCTCATCATAGTAAGGTCTCGATCTTGAACTGCGGGAGGGTCGTGGTGCGAGGTGCAGAAATGGGTTCCGAACGGTTGTTTTCTGCTGCAGCGGTGGGTTACCAATGGGATTACAATGACAATGCAAGGGATGTGTGTGGGGGCGCGTGTAATTGATCCCGGTGTGCAATCCCGGTGTGCAATGTGTTGGGGGCCCACAATGTATATCTATAATCCTTCACTCCCTTCACATCCCACCTGCCCATTGGCGAGACGAAGGCTGGTGTAGTCGCTGCTGGCACAGCTGCCAAAGACGTGGAGCAAGTTCGGGATCTGTACCTTCCATGAAAGGGCCAAGCACATGGGAGGGCAAGCACGTGGTGCCCCGCTTTGGGGCGGGTCCCATCTGAAAACCCCCTCGGCGACCTGTCTCAGGTGTCCAATGTCTCGCACTCGGGCCGTAGAAGGTCCCATTTGTGTTGTATGAGGATGGAAATCATTGCATCGTTTGCTGCAAGGACAAAGCCTGGTGGACAACATTAACATTCACAACGACAGCTGTTGATGGACACCATTTCGCAGTGTCCCTGCCCCCCACAAAACATAGAAACGCGGCGAACAACATTCCCCTCAACATCCCCGCAGCAAGGTCTTGAGTCTTGACCGTTCGTGGATTAAAGGTCTGTCACGGAGCGGTCAAAATCCTCATCCCTCAGACTCCTTCTTTCAACGAATCAGCATTCCATTCTTCATGTAACTGCACCAACCGTCCTTAGAACATAAAAACACACACACACTTCAAAAAGCCTGATCTGATGAATTATATATAGCTTCAATTACTGACTCACTGACCACCAGAAATCAGACCGAGAAGCCCAGCCTGGCCATGATCTCCTTTGGACATCCCAGTCAAGGTCCAAAATGTCCAGGTCACTTGGATGGGGAAACCCATTGAAACTCCAAATCAAGGAAACTCAGCAAACCTGCCAAACACCAAACAACACCAACAAAACATAGCTGCTATATGCCCCAACAGTCAATGCTGCTATCACCCATGCTGCTATACGACCCTTGTTGTTTCGTTTCACGGACCGCGCTTCGTCCAACGGAGGTCCACAACGGACCGCGCTGCCTCCAGGTCGATGTGGTTGGAACGCTTCGATTCGATGCGATACTCCTGGAAGAGCCGTGCCACCTGAGCCGTGCGTGTGGCGACCAGCTGGAGCGATACTCTGCTGAGCGAAGAAGCGATACGGCTTCCGGGGCTTCCGGGGATTGAAGACGAAGACGGTGGGTTTTTTCAAGGTGAAGACGTATGTCACTTATATAAGGTTACACCAGGATTGCTTCCAACAAAAACGGGAATGACCACAAGCACTCCATCCAAATGCTGATAGATGGAACGATCTTGGGGTTGGCGGCTAGCCAAGCACAATCCGATACAGCTCGCCAAACCACAGCGGTTTGGACGTCCGTATTATGCGTATTGAAGAACATGTCGACATTTGTGGATATGTGTGTTCCCGGAAGACCTCAACCAACGCTACAATGGGCCCGATTGTGAAAGCCACTTTGAACGCACATCCCTCCATAATGGATCATAGTGGCGGATCTCATGTTCAGATCTCAGGACATCCTGAATTGTGAACTCAAATCCATCTGCACTGTCCCGAAGTTCCAAGGCCTCTTCCTTCCAAAGCAACACATTCACAAACATGTTACGTAGAATGGCATGAAATGGCAAATTGCCTATGCTGTCCTATAGACTATAGGGTTTCTCATGATGGTTGCACATACTCGCTGATACAGAAAATAACTTAAAACATATCATTAGGGATTCACTTCCGCATGGACAGCACACCCGCGAAACGACACCAGGATAGTCCCTCATCTTCCCCCATCCCTCTGTACCTCTTGGCCGTAGATCTGACCAACTCTTGCAACAAGCAGCCGTTGACCTCTGAACCTCCCACTTCGTCACCCAAACAATCTCCCAGGTCTTCCATCACCCCCACCGTGAGAGCCTTCGGCCCCGCCGTTTCCGCCCCGCCCTTGTTCGCTCCGCCGCCAGTCGCGCCTGGAAATGGCTCCAGGTCTGAGAGCCTTCGTCCACGCCGCCGAGGTGGCAAAAGGCGAAGGCCTCCGGGCTCAGGCGTAGCACCTCGACACGGTCACGGACGAAGATGCAGCCCTGGACTCGGACTTGATATGCGCGGCGTGGGGTCCTCAAACATGCTCAGCTCGCTGGCGAGCATGTCGTTGATGGTGTGTTTGTTGTGACTTGTATGGTTTTGTGGTGGTGGTTAGCTGTGCTTGTCAGCTTGAGTTGGCACAGCAGCTACAAACCTATGATGGTCTCCTACTGTGCACAAGGTTGGCATGTCCTTGTGCTGGTCGTAGGAAGGTATGAAGCCCATGGAAGGGGAAGTTCTCATCCATGAAGTGCAAAGAACACACACAATTGAGATAGTTTCCCTGACCTGAACTTTTTGTACATATAATATCATTCACCAATTATTACAATGTATTGAACTCACGTGGGTCCTTGGGACGGGTTTGGCCTTGCGATCAGCGCAGAACTTCACCACCAAAAAGAGTTTCTCATACTAAGTTCCAAATGAGGCAGTCTCACGTATTCCGTGCGTTTGATCCCACCTCCGAAGATTCCCCCAGATCGGCAAAACGCATTTAGAAAGGCTGCGAGGTGCATTATGAATCATTCATCAATGCAGGGTACCTTTTAGAGAACAGAAGAACTGCATAAATAACATATAAAAACCATGCCCTCTTGCAGTGGACATCCACGCCCAAATGGAGTGCCCTCTACTTCCCAAACAGTCATGGCACCCCTTCTTTCCTTCCTTCCTTCCTTCCTTCCTTCCCTCCCACGGACTTTCCATGCACTCCGAGGTGCCAAGTGTGGCAAGGCAGGTCCCTTCACCATCCGCTGCAGTCGTTGTAAGGCTTGCAAGACCTGAAAAGTACGACCACCATCGGTTGGGTACTTTGTTTTGTCACGAGAAGTAGCACAAATGCAAACAAATACATAAAAATACAATGCTTTACACTTTAAACATGCACCAACTTTATCAACTGTTGGGTTCAGTTAAACATGAGTAGTGAATCAGCGATATACAGTAAACCTTTTCGAGATGATAACTCATCAACCTTTGATAGTCTCTGATAGTTTTCTGTCACCTCGGCCAACAACATTCATCAACAAAAACCTGCAAGATCCTGCAAGTATATTTTTTGTAGGATCCTGGAGATGGACTGTTTTGGGTGGATTTGGGTGGATTTGCGTTCTTTCATCCTCCACCAAAACACTGGACCGACTGTAGCACTGGCACCACGCCTTGTGTACGACGTCTTGCACTGGAGGTTGCTGTCCTCCATTGGAGATGGTGGCCCGAAACTTCATGGCGAAGCAGCTTTTAGCTCTGCTATGTTGAGCAGCGATTTGACTGTGTGCGACGGTGTGCGTTGATTGAAGAAGTGTCGCAAGGTCAAATGTATACAGGTGTGCGACTGGGTGTGATGGTTGATGGTTGATGGATTTCTTGAGATGTCTTCGAATCCAACGAGGTGCTGAAGGTGGCGCCCAACCTGCGGTTAGGGAGGAGTTCATAAGACCCTGTTTAATGTTGAACATGTGTTCCAGAATGTTCAGAATGCACGTGTTTCTGAATGCAATTGAATGCCTCAGACCTTCAAAAGCGCCTGGAATGACTCATTCCAACTCATGACTCATATTGTGCGTCGCGATTGCTCGCGACGAATGGCTGCGGATGGAGGCCGTGCACATGATCTGATGTCCCCCTTGCAACACAAAGACAACAAGAAGGGGTTGGGGGAAATCAGAATGTTCACAGATCAAAGAAGCCTTTGGCACTCTGATGCTCTCACATTGCCACACATACCGTAACAGAAGTTCAGCAAGGCCCAGAAAACTGCATCATTTCAAGCAGAAAATTATACATAGTACTTCCGCATTGTGTTAATGCTTAACACGTTTTGACACCACAAAGGCAACAAACTGATGCAAGCCGTGGGTGTCCCCAAACTGTGTCAGACCTCCCTGTGGTCTTGACCGAATCTCCGAGCGCTTCATCCGGCGGTTTCACCGAAAACACCGCGACCTCGGTGCCGGGCTCACCTTTGTTCACCCTGCTTCTTGGACCAGGCCAAGACCAACATGCGCATAACCTTAAGAGTCTTAAGAGCATTCAGCTCAACTTTGCCCAGCCTTGGACCACTACCGGTCATGGAATCGGTTTTGAAGGCCGTGGGCAGTCAGGACGAAGGCCAAGGCCGATGCGATGATACGTATGTTTGGGGGTTATCCCAGACATCCAGGGCCGAGATGGGCCCAGTGGATGATGATGGTTCAGTTGCAGGCCTTTCTCTAAAAGACCGAACCCAACCGCAACCCCTCACGGCCCAAAGGCCAAGACACCTCGCTGTCTCAGTTGCGCAGCCGCCTAAGTCGAACACTGGTCGGTTGTCCAAGGGCACTGGTCGAGTTGTTGATAGGATATAGGGGGTGGGGTTCCCGGAGTTCCCTAAGAGAAAAATGAGGTCCAATACACTCCGACGAAACACATCACATGGAAGCAGAACAAATCTCATGTTCATCAAGGAAGTCGGTAATGAGTCTTCCAAGGGGGACCATGCCATCCACTTCCATGTTAATGACACTCAGAGTGTGACCGTGTGACCGTTCGGATTGGTTTTTGTCGCGCCTCGGCGGCCTGCTGTGTGAGCTGACCAGGAAGCTTCTTGGAGAGCTCCAAGAGCTTGGCTTCCGTCGCCTGCGCAGGAGAGTAGCCGCCCCCCCCGAAACGCGTGACTGGTCATCCGGTCGGCCGGCGAGTGCAGGAGACGCGTGAGACAGCCCGTGAGTTCCAGCGCGCCCCTGGAGGGACTGAAGAGATTATACGAGGGGACTTGACACAATGTACCACTAAATGATCAATAAATATCAGTCAATATCATAGAATGACCGAATTCTCGCACGGAGTTGTTCCTGGCGTGAGAACACCAAAGATCATCCATTGGTCCAGTAAGACCAAAATGGTTCAAGCTTAAAACAAAGGTATTCTTAACATTTCTAAACATGTTTTCTCATGTTGATCTCCTCCAATGTGGTTTATCGTGTTTAATGGCAAACATATCAGCAGATTTTTTTTTGGCGTTTGCTTCCGCCCTCCAGCGCCTTGAAGACCTCCTCGAACTGGCGAGTGAAAGCTTCCACCTGATGAGGAATGCCCATTGGTGCTGTGGCAAGTCACCCGTCCACCTGGTCATCGTCCAAAAAAAACACAAAGAAACACAGCCAAACCCAACAGGAAGTCCATTCAGTCCGCGGGGTTTTCCGCCCAGGTCGGGTCGTTCCATGACCCGTCACACGGCGATGAGTCGACCCGCAAGAAGAAAGCGGGTTCGTCATCGAGGACGACCTTCTTGGGGGAACCTGAGTGACAAGCAAGATGACAAGCAATATAAGCAATACCAACACTCCAACAGCTTCAGTCTAAAAGAATTGTTCATCCGCACATATGGTGAATTATGGTGATATGTTATACCTCCACCCAATGACTGGAATTCACGTAGCATTCAATCATATCAATCACCAATTACCACCACAGCCACCAGCACAGGCCTTTCGCTCGCGGTCCGCACGCGCGGCCCGGCCGGGGCCTCGTGTGTGGCCCGCGCCAGAGTGGAGTTGAGCTTCAAAACTGAGCAGGAGGCCGTCTCAGCCTGGCATCTCTCGACGTTTTCTGAAAAAAGAAGAAGAGCGCAGGATCATGCAGGATCATGCAGGACCATCATCCTAGGACCTACAGGACCTACAGTTGGATCATCGGACCATCGGGTCTCGGATGAGAAAAAGGGATGAGATGCTTTGGGGTCGACCCACCACCCGTCCTATAGCGATGCACCGAAAGGGGATCCGAAAGGATGAGATCGTCAAACACTGGCATATCGATATCCATCTCAAACATGGCTCAAGAACGTAGTCGTACTAACCCAGGTACCACCTGGAATCGCAAGCGAAAAATAAGTCAATACAATCCTCTCTGAAACCAGTCGAGTGTGGTGATGTGAAGGCATATACTGTATATATATATATATAAATTGAGTTGCTACATGGAGTGTTTGGGTCACTTCGACGACGTCCAACTGTTCCCACTGAAAAACGCCAAGCGGCCGTCACTGATCGTGCATCCTGGCGGATGCTCAAAGCCAAAGCCAAAGGGGATGCTCTGAGATGGGAATAGGCTCGGGGCGCAAAGACCACCCGATTGACTATAGAAAATAACAATTTTAAGACCTCTTGATCATATTGAAACATAAATGTATATATAGGGGTAACAAGTGGATGGCATTTTTGGCTCGGCACAAGTAGATGGAAATGGAGGGTTGAATTACTCTTACCGGGACCCACGTGTTGTTCGAGACTGCCATCTATGTGTTCCTGAAAAGCCGGGGTGGTTTCAGCAACGTTCATCTGCATTTCTTGCATTTGTTGTAAAGGGGTTGTGGGAAACAACATTTGCACCCAAGGTTTTTTCCTCTTCGGAATTATATAGACCAGCCAAATAACAAAGAATTAGAAATTAACTAGCTACTGTCTCTGTGTCTATTCCCTTAACGGGGAGGGACACAGGGTTCTGCAAGGAAGCTCCCTGGGAACCGTTCCGAAGCGTGTCCCGGGCCTTGGGTGGAACCATGCGCTCTCAGGGACCGACCTCTCAGGCCTCACCTGTCTCCCTCCCCGTTAGGGGAATAGACACAGAGACAGGGAGAGAGGAGAAAAAGTAGAAATAGTAGCTAGTTAATTTCAATTTCTTTGTTATTTGGCTGGTCCACGCGGTCGCTGAGACCGGTGTGTCCATCCCCGTGGCCCCACGACATCGACTCTCCATGGCCACGAGGACATGGAATCGGTGTCCCTGTTCATTTCTCGTCTTTCTTGCAATGCTTTTGAGCTCTATTTGCAGTGTATGCCATCTACATGTTCACATTTCTGTTGCGCGGGGTAGATGGCATGCTAGTGGCCTAAACCACAAGAGCTCATCGCGTATGCCATCTAGGTGTGGCCATGGCGGGGGCCCATTGGAAACCCATGGAGAGCCTGACTTATAGTCAGAACATGGTTTAGCGTCTTGTGAAGAAAAGCTGAATACGCCATCTAGGTGTGGCCAGGGGGAAACAGTGGAAGCCCCAACTATATATATATATAACTTATAGCTGGAACGTGGTTTAGCGGCGTTTTTGAAGAAAAACATGCTTCCCGTTGGACACCAAATGCCATCAATCAGTGGACATTCTTACAAAACGACATTCAAAAATCCAAACGGATCAAGCGACATTTGCTGAAATTTCTTGCATTTTCTTGCAATGCTTTTGAGCTCTATTCTGCATTGTATGCCATCTACATGTTTCACATCTTTTTAGTGCGGGGGTAGATGGCATGGACATGGTCTAAACCACAGGAGGATGGCATATCATAGGCTCCCTCCTCATGCCATCCAAACGTTATCCCCTAATATGGAAACATAATATCATAATTACTATTATTAATGTTGACATAATATGATCATATTGAAACGTATGTTGACCTCAATGACCTCTCAATGACCTGTTGACCTTACTTTCTCAACTTGATTCAAACAATAACATCCTCACACAGGAACTCCAACTACAATGTTCATCACGGCTCACCACTAAGTACCTATATATACATTTCAGCAAACGAACCCAGTCTTTGATGGTATACTGATCCAACAAATCGCACCACGGAACAAATCTTCAGCAACGCCCTATCAGCATGATCCAGCGACCTTCTCACACAAATTGGACCGTATATGACCTTACGTTTGTTCCAGTAAACCAGCCACTCACTCGCCACACTCCAGCCGCACCCCGCAACGGCGGCGGGACACGTCTGCCCCGCCTTGGCTACGGTCAACGTGGAGTCTGAGGCGCTATCCAGGCGTTGCAGAAGCGTCACGAGCCTCAGACCCGCCCAGCCACCGAGCTGAGCGTCACGGTGTATTTTGCACCCTGAGCGTCGCGATGTACGGAATGAAGCAACAAAAGAAACATGAAGAAAGCACACACAAAGTGATACTGGAAAACAAACGCCACCAGATTGTCGAGGAAATGACTGATCCAGGGGTTTCATGTTCAACATGAACGTGATAAACAACCAGTCTGTATTCTGTATGTAGGCCATCTTCGGGTTCTATCTTCTCGTTTCGAAGTGCATCATCCCAGCCAATGTATCTCATGAGCCTCAAACTAGTAGAACATGGGAATCATTGGGGTTTGTACGGAACAACAAGCACCGCTTTGTAATAAATTCGTGGCCAGGCTCGATGGTGTCTGCACATCGGGTTGCACTTCAAGGAAGCAACATGAGAGGGCTCCAACCTTTGTGGCCAGTCTTGGTATCTCAGCCACTCCTTCCAACTCCCTCCAACTCCCCCATCCCCGCAAAGTGCCCAAAGGCGGCCCCTACCTGCCAGCAAAAAGGCGAACAAAAAACACCCCCTTCCGTCCCCACCATGGCGTGGTCCTGAGTCTCCTGTGAACAACCATCTACGAGAGCGAAGGACATCGAACCCAGCACGATGTTCATCGTCTGAACCCAGCATCAATGGTCCACTTCCATGTCTGTGAGTGTCCACTTCCATGTCTGTGAGTTGGAGTGTAGTTTTGATCCACTACTTCAGGTAAGTCCCGGCGCTGACCAACCAATCTCGCCCAAGTGACGTTCCATTGAGATGGATTGCTGTGTCCTCAGCGACGGCTCCAATTGCGCATTCGCCCAAGGATTCGCGCAGGACTGGGGTGACTGGGGGCGTGCAGGACTTCTTCAGTCAAGAGCTGGATTTTTCCTACTCTCCCTGGAACTAACATATGGAAGCAGAAAACCACCTGTTTGTAGTGGAAAATGGTATTGCAAGGGGCCATTCTCCACTTCGATGTTAGTTCCAGGGAGTGTAAAAAGGAGTTTATCAAGATAAAATCTGGGTCGTAGAGCGTCGGAGAAAAGCAATCTTCGGACAAGGAGTTTCCAAGCAACGTTTACTGCAACTTTCGGGCCTGGAGAGCATGTAGATGGTGACAGGATCCAAACAAGTTCCGGAGAGTATGTGGTTAGGATTCAATCAGCATCCGGACAGGAGCCGGTTACAACGCAGATCGGATTCGAGCACTGCATGGCCATCACTGGAAGAGGACATGTCTCCATCAAAGCCGGCTCCCAGGTTCCGCGCAGATTCAAACCCGCAAGCAAAGAGACTCAGGAGATCTCAGGAGTGTGTTCACCAGCTTTCCCCCACCACTTGAAAACACCTCGGAACCTGTCAACTGACCAGAAAAACTTCCACCCCACCAAGGCTGTGCCGGATCATGTAGTGATGTTCACCCCGACATCACCCTGCGTCCATGGCTGGAACGAATGGTTCTGGAGAATCACTCCGCCGTCCTAGGACATCCCCCGTTGGTTTGCTTGGGGGCAACCGAAAACACTCAACGTCACAGCCACCTTGTTTGGGTTGATCTGGCAACACCGAGGTCAAGGCTGTCTGGCCCACTGTGGCGAGTGTGCCCACCACAATGTTCTGCACTCGCACCACCTGAGGAGAATGAAAAAGCACTCAGGACTCAGGCTTCATTGTTTGAACCGACATATATCATATAACATGAAAAACATGCTACCTTCCATAATCCTACACCATGCACGTAAAACTGCACCAACATGTCTGAAGAACAAGCAAGCATTATCTACTCCTTTGGGTCTGTGCTATATCCACAAGTGCATTGGGTTCACTTAGGATTTTTCTGATGCGGTTTCCCCACTTAGCGTCGGCAAAACAAGTCCACCGAAACAACCTAGACCAAGATAAAGCCAGGCAACAATCAAATTCAGTTGAACTCTGAAGGTCCTCATGCTGTGCTTCTATACTTCTCTAATCATGCTCTATCCGCCGACCCCTGCTTAGCCCTTGCCTAAGCGGGGCGGCGCCAGGGACACCGGAGGGTGGAACGGGTGGCCAGTGCAAACGCAAGCCCCAGCATGCCACGTTAAGCAGCCACCCCCGCCTTCAAAGCCT